GATTTGATTGTTGAGCTTGTTCTTCTTCAAGTGCTAGACCTTAGTGTATTGTTGATTCAGTGAGAGTATTATTGTGTGTACTATGTTATCTTACGAGTGAGATTCTCAAAATTTATAGTTCTATTGGAGACTAAGTGACGTGTTCATGTTTCAATTATATGTGTTATTTTATATATTGGTGATTATTGGTTATGATTTTAGCTTACAAAAAAAATAGAATTTATGTTTGTTCTAATTTTTTCTACCTTGTGCCAAGGATTCTTCCATGTTCCATGACGGGATTATGTGATTGGTGCTTAGATGGTATGACTAGACGAAGAGATAGTGTAACACAAGTCAAAACTACTAATAAGTATATGTTCATCTTTTAGCCAAATATATGTTCAATGATCACAGTAAAATGATTACTTATGTTGTTCGATTAAAAAGTAGTAGTTTTCTTGCACGTTTGTTTGATCATAAATGAAAAACTAACAAAATCATGTGACCCTAATCTCAATTTTAGATTGAATTGTCCACATAAAGAAGTCATTGGACACAAAAAGATATGATATATGGAGTGAGACTCACTAAGCACTATTATCGACCTTAGTTATATTATATTATTTAATTTTTTGCATTTGATTAAGAGCTTAACATACGTTCAACTTTGGTCATTAGTATAAAACGTATTTCTGAGGAATAAAAAAATGTCATGTATGTCCTAATAACAAATTTGAATGAAAGAAGTCATCTGTTGTTCTACAGCAGTCCATGCAGCTTTCGTGCCAAATCTTCTGATTTTTTTTTTTTTTTTTTTCTGTATAGGAAATGTGAGAGCTGAAACTCATACCATCGAAGTTAGGCATAGCAAGAAACATAAATGTTGAAGTCCTAGAATCTCCAAAAATTAGCAAACACGTGTTATTCCATTTGGTTGTGGGAAAGAGGAAATGTGGCTACCCACATATAATTCCTGCTTCAAGATCCTTTGCCAAAAGAAAATCACCAACTGAAGTTATGTTTCTCGACACTTTTCCCATTATGCTGAGAGACACGAAACACAAGGGATGGAATTGAAAATGATGTATTATTTGAACTAACTTTAAATATTTAATTTCTTTAGTATTTTTATTGGATATAGTGGTTATTCACTAATTATTTATTGATGTTTACCAAACAAGTGAATTTATAGAGTTGTGATTCACGACTTTATTATAATATGATTTTCTATATAATACAATTCATGTGCAACACACGTGTGCATCAACTAGTTATTTAAATATTAACAACAACATCTAATCTTTAATAATCCCTATTAAAATTATTTTCATTATTGACATTATTTATAACATAGTAACATACTCCGACTTTCTTGTATCCTTATTATTATATGACACTACTCCACTAAGAATTCAGGAGACTCATATCTCGTAAGTATATAGAAAGGATAAAAAAATTTATCATATACCTCATTAATATTACTCTCATTATTATTGTTTATAACATAATAGCATACTCACCATCTTTTTCTATCCCCATTGAATTAGTAAGCAGAGAGAAAATTCCTTTCTCCCCCTCTGTATATAGAGAACAAGAAATCAATCAAAAGCTACATACATAATGCATGCTAATCCACTTAAAAAATTGGACTAAAATAACATTACTCTTTTGTCAAAGAGACAAAAAAAAATTATAGATTGCCTTACAACCTCTTAGAAAGTTACAAGAGATTATCGAGCCAATATCGTTACGAATGATAGACCAAAAATAACAATGATCATTCTTGATAGACTTCAATGTAAGGAGAGTAATTTATTGATTCGAGCGTTTAGCAAAGACTTAATTAAAATAAACTCCCCATATATATTTGCATTTATCATAATCTCTAACGTTGTTTACACTATTTCAAAATAATGTTGTACATGTACGTCAACTAGTCTATCTAAATTTAAGGGTGAATACATTTTACCATTGACATGAACCGGACANATTTATCATAATCTCTAACGTTGTTTACACTATTTCAAAATAATGTTGTACATGTACGTCAACTAGTCTATCTAAATTTAAGGGTGAATACAAGATCGACCTGATATAAAATTCAAAAATGACACGATGAATTAATATGCACGATAAATTGGTCAATATAAAGTTAAACACAAATAACATGATTAATAAGTAATATAAATAAAATTTTAATATTTTATAATATATTTAATTTTTTGTACATAATATCATATGAGATATTATAAAATCTAATAATTTTTTATTAATATAAATATCGACATGAATACAATTGATACGCTCCAAAAATTACATGATTGAGGTTGACCTGACAGAAAAATTACACGGCATGATTCATATTTGCAAAAATAGGGTTGATTGCTATAATTTGATTATTTTTTTTTAAATGGTCAGTTATCACTATAAATAATACTATATAATTCAAATGAAATCTAAAAAATTACAAGTCAAATATATATCATCTCTTGAATAAGTGAGTTCATCAATTTTTTCAGTAAAACCCACTCATTTAAAATTTATCCAAGGAATAATTTGCATTTAAGTTGCACTTTTTAAGTTTTATTCAGATTATGTATTTTTTTTCTATCATTATAGTGTCACCCATATATTCGATACGAAGAATGTTATACTTATCAAATTATTTATATAAATTTGTATGTAAAATTAATATGAATTGTTAGATCAGTGAAATCTATTCACTTTTCCCAAACATTCGATATGTGAAATTTGAACGTATCATTTAAAATATAATTTTTGATAAACAAATTTTAGAATCATATTTTTATAAAGAGAGAATTATGTATAGATTTTTTGAAATTTGTCACTTAATCACTCAGATCTTCTGATATTTAAAATATTACACACAGATCTTCTAAGTTTTGTACGCACACTTAGACTTCTGGTATAAATATATTCATTAATAAATTATACTTAGATCCCNGATATTTAAAATATTACACACAGATCTTCTAAGTTTTGTACGCACACTTAGACTTCATAAAGATATTTATTAATAAATTATACTTAGATCTCATAAAGTTTGTGGATATATAATACTTAGACCCTTTAAGTTTAAAATATTATACTTTAACCAAAAATACTACAATCAAATATAAACTATTTTAAACTTTACAACCAAAATTCATATTCTATTGTATCATTTATTGAAATAAAATCAAAAAAAAAAATTTAATTTTTTTTTAAAATTGTAATTAGATACAATTATATTGTCTATTAGAATTTAATTTAGTGGNTATTCTATTGTATCATTTATTGAAATAAAATCAAAAATAAAAATTTAATTTTTTTTAAAATTGTAATTAGATACAATTATATTGTCTATTAGAATTTAATTTAGTGGTTTAAACGACTAAATTAAAATACCAAACTACCCCAATTAAATTTAAAAAATATTGTGTCAATTACAATTTGATTTCTTATTTAATTTTTTAATTTTTTTCTAATAGATAATATAAATATATACTAACTATGTTTTTTTTTTANTTAGATACAATTATATTGTCTATTAGAATTTAATTTAGTGGTTTAAACGACTAAATTAAAATACCAAACTACCCCAATTAAATTTAAAAAATATTGTGTCAATTACAATTTGATTTCTTATTTAATTTTTTAATTTTGTTCTAATAGATAATATAAATATATACTAAATTTTTATTTTTGATTTTATTTCAATAAATGACATAATAGAACATGAATTTTGGATGTAAAATCCATGTTCTATTATGAATGACTTAGACACATTGTTTGATTTTTTAGTTTTATTGCAATAGATAGTATAATTGTATATTAATTACAATTTTTTTTTAAAAAAATTAAAATTTTATTTTTAATTTTATTTCAATAAATAATATTATAGAACATGAATTTTGTTTATAAAATTTAAAATATTTCATATTTGATATTTAATTGGAATATTTTTAGTCTAAATATAATATTTTAAATTTAAAATATTTAAATATTATATACGTACAAATTTTATGAGAGTTTAATTGTAATTTATTAGTAGATATATTTATAACACGAGTCTAAGTATTACGCGTATACAAACTTCAATGAATTTGTGTGTATTATTTTAAATGTTAGGAAGTTTGAGTGATTAAGTGAAAAATATCAGGGGTGTGAATATAATTCTCCTTTAATAAATTTGATATTTACTCGTGGTCCCATGTACGGCCCACCTACCATTCAACTGCTAACTACCATTCTTCAGGGGAGAGAGAGAGAGNCTATTATGAATGACTTAGACACATTGTTTGATTTTTTAGTTTTATTGCAATAGATATTATAATTGTATAATAATTACGATTTTTTTAAAAAAAAATTAAAATTTTATTTTTAATTTTATTTCAATAAATGATATTATAGAACGTGAATTTTGATTATAAAATTTAAAATATTTCATATTTGATATTTAATTGAAATATTTTTAGTCTAAATATAATATTTTAAATTTAAAAGGTCTAAATATTTTATACGTACAAACTTTATGAGAGTTTAATTGTAATTTATTAGTGGATATATTTATAACACGAGTATAAGTATTACGCGTATACAAACTTCAATGAATTTGTGTGTATTATTTTAAATGTTAGGAAATTTGAGTGATTAAGTGAAAAATATCAGGCGTGTGAATATAATTCTCCTTTAATAAATTTGATATTTACTCGTGGTCCCATGTACGGCCCACCTACCATTCAACTGTTAACCACCATTCTTCGGGGGNCCCATGTACGGCCCACCTACCATTCAACTGCTAACTACCATTCTTCAGGGGAGAGAGAGAGAGAGAGAGAGAGAGAGAGAGAGGGCGGGGGGAGACTCACTGAACGCAGAAAGTCACTGAACCGTATCCATGGAGCCCCAAAGCTCTCCATTCTTCATCAAACAACAATTTCCATGGAAAAACTGTACAGACGCACCAACTCATAATCAACCATTCCACTCCCTTGGCTTGCCCAACCTCGCCGATCATGCTCAGAGGCAAGCTCAAGCTCCCGGAGAAAGCCCGGCGAGCATTTCCCGATAGGCTCGGAAGCATAGTGGCCGGCTTCAACGAAAAAGATGAAGAAAACAGAGGACTAAATCACGGTTTTGAGCTCGGAGAAGAACTAGAGACGTTTCAGCCAAATGGGTTTGGGTTGGATCGAGAATTGGACGACTACAAAGTTGAAGATGAAAAATCTGATGGTGAATTGGGTTTTAGGGCTCCGCAAAAACCCGATAGAGATGGGGCAGACTCGGTTTCTTTCTCAGATGTTTTTGCAGCCGATGAGAAGAGATCGGATCTTGAATATGAGGTTAGATTGCAAGTGGGTTTGAAAATTTTGTCCATACTATCCAACATTTTCGGAGTAAATGTTAGATTTAAGATATTTTCCTTCCTTATTTTCTCAGCGACCAAAATGGCATTACGGCATTAGGTTTCCAAATTTATACGCTTCATTTTGATAGTGTTGGGGGTTAATCTGTGTTTTTCTTTATAGTTTTCTCAAAAGGAGATAAATTTGGAAAAGCTGCAAAGAGTGGCGAGTTCGGGGCTTCCTGATGGTGGAGGTTTGCGGGCGACAGCTTGGAAGGTTAGGGTTCCATTTTTGATTAATTATGCTACTAATTTGATGATAGCTATTTTTTCTTGTCAAATTTGATTAATTGGGGCCAATTTTTTGACAGCACAAACATTACCTTGGAAAAGGTAGATGAATATCTAAGTTGGGAAATTAATGGTTTACAGAGGTTCCTCAAAATGTTGAAGTGAAATAGTACATAATGTGTTGATCAGGCCTAGTTATATTCAATACTAGACTGAATTCCATTTTTAGGTTTCATAAATTCTCAAGCTTTTCTACACACAAATCCATAAAATATCATGTGTGAAGTTTCACTTTATAAACATAAGAATCTCTACTATAGTTGCACCCAAAAAACGGAAACCCCATTGGCGAAGGAAGCTGAGGTGAGGCTAGTTTTCACAATACATCATAAAATTGATCTGTAACGAGTGTTGCTGTACCTANAGAGGTTCCTCAAAATGTTGAAGTGAAATAGTACATAATGTGTTGATCAGGCCTAGCTATATTCAATACTAGACTGAATTCCATTATTAGGTTTCATAAATTCTCAAGCTTTTCTACACACAAATCCATAAAATATCATATATGAAGTTTCACTTTATAAACATAAGAATCTCTACTATAGTTGCACCCAAAAAACGGAAACCCCATTGGCAAAGGAAGCTGAGGTGAGGCTAGTTTTCACAATACATCATAAAATTGATCTGTAACGAGTGTTGCTGTACCTAGTGCACAAGTTCTGGGTGTGGGAGAGGTTGATTTTGGATTCGAACAAGAGACGTAATGCTTAGGCGTATGAGTATTTACCCTTGCTCCATATCTAACCTCTAAAGAACTATTATAAACATGATTAAGCCAGCCAGACACCCGTAACCATTACACTTGTGCACTTTAGAAATTGAACATTGTGTGACAAGAAGTCAAGTGCTGCCGGTTGGCACTTGCCTTGGGAGGTCCATGCCGATTGGCACTTTACTATCCAAAGCCACCTTGGTTCGGCCACCTTATCTCCAATCAAGCTACTACAGGTTCTCATGCTTACCCACCTCTGCTAGACGAGTCCTACTCGGCTAAGAGGATCAACCTAGAACCTAGAGTCCTAGTCCAATACAACTTCGAACATATAAGAGCCATTGATAAGGCACCTAAGAACAAGAGTTCTCGTCTAACACTACCTCGAACTTTGAGGACCAGGTGATAAGGTTTATCCTATCACAACCTAGAGTTCGGGTTTCTTTAGGATACAACTTCCTACCACTATAAATAAAGGTCTTCAGGCACCAGGTAAGGATATTCAATCCTAGCATATTCACTCCATACTCTTTTTTGATGTGCGATCTGACATAAGCATCGGAGTCTCTTCGGCCGCCTCCGACCATCGGTTCACTTAGGTATTTTCTTGTCTTGCAGGTTACACAAAGCTTCATTACCGTCATCTCTGTCAGTATAAGGTGGTGACTTCTTGTGTGGAATTCTCCTCGCACAATTGGCATTGTCTATGGAAAAATGACTAAGTTTTTCGGCTACCTGAAAGCTTTGAATTATGTCTGGCGAGAGAACCAACGACCCTTCAACTAGTCGCATGGTACTTACAGTACCCCTAATCCTTAAAAATCCCCTAAACTACAACCTCCAATTGCTCGATGAAACGTTGCTTTGGGATGGGCAAAAGCGCCAAGAAGAACAACAGCCTCTCCGTCACAACCTACCATCTCTTAATGCAGAAGATGAACTAGCTATGGAGGTGGCTTACCAAGAGGTGATAAGAAAGAAGATGGAGAAGTTTGAAGCCCTCAAGCAAGGGCTCCTTCACCAAAAGGGCAATAAACTTGNAACCTACCATCTCTTAATGCAGAAGATGAACTAGCTATGGAGGTGGCTTACCAAGAGGTGATAAGAAAGTAGATGGAGAAGTTTGAAGGCCTCAAGCAAGGGCTCCTTCACCAAAAGGGCAATAAACTTGTTAGTTAGGTTCGATGCTTGTCTTGTCAAAATGACCACCACAATGATCACTCGCATGAGGTTCAATCTACTTGCCGCGGGAATAGGTCACCGACAAGGAGCTATTCAACCCATGATCGGCGTCAAGGCAGGTACTCACCAAACGCACTACCTCTCAACGTTTTTTCGGGGACCCTTCACCTAGAAAACATCCTTCTCGTCATGGGGAGAGGGTAGGCAAGTCACACCGGGAACGCTGCCCTAGGGAGCGTAGAGAAAGACATAGGAGTTCAACTCATCACTCTAGATGAGATGATTGGTACGAAGATAACGGAAGACGAAAGCGTACGCGATTCGAGCTAGCCCACGAAGATAACGATCATCCTCTCCATAGCCTTGGCTAAGATGCCCTTATATACTCGGCTAAAGAAAGGGCAAGGTAGACCTTACTTAAGATAACCACTACTCCTTTTGTTCAGTCTGTACGAGAGGCTGAGCATCAACGTAAGTTCTCTCCTTCGTTCTTCGAATTGTATGATGGCAAGTCTGGTTTTGTGCTCCATATTTTTTTTAATAAAATGGTCCTCTGGACGAGCAACGAAGCATTGATGTGCAAGATGTTCTCCTCTAACTTGGAGAGATCAGCCTTTAAGTGGTTCCATGGGATGCTCGTGAAATCGGTCTTCTCTTGGGAATAGCTCGCCGGGAGTTTGTCTCTCGATTCATAGCCAATAGTTGAGAGTTGACAACGATTGACACACTCTTAACATTACACCAAAAACTTGTTGAGACTCTCTGTGAGTATGCCACAAGGTACTTGGATATCTATAATAGGATTGCGATGAAAAGATTGCAACTTTCTCTTTTCGCTTGGGCCTCCCTAGGGAAATTGAATTGAGGAAGTATCTCACTATGTGGCCACCACATAACATGTCACACTTGTAGGAGTATATCAAGAGGTACGTAAAGGTTGTAGATGACAAGGGACCAATCAACTGACTACTGTCTTCTCCAAAGAAGAACTAGAGGAAGGAAGACAATACTTTCAACTTATAAAGAAGAAATGGGTCATCCAAGTGAATGAGAGACTCCTATCAAAGAGCTAACACTGTCTTTAAGAAGTCTATCTATGAAGTCCTGAACCAAATCAAAGATAAGGAGTATTTTAGATGATCACCTAAAATGACAGGAGATCTATCAAAACGGGACCAAAATCTCCATTGTTCTTACCACAAGGAAAAAGGCTATCGGATGGAGAATTGTTGGGCACTCAAGCGCCACTGAGAAGAATTGGTCAAGCAAGGCCACCTTTCTTGGTACATTGACAAGGAAAAGACTGCCAATGAGTAGACAAAGCTACAAATTCAATCAGATGACTAACCAGATGACTAAGGTTTATTTTTAGCTTAGTCGACAACGTCTTATTATTTAAATAAATCTTTAAAGACATTTGTTTCTCGTCCTCGTTGATTAGTAAAGAGAAGTTTATTTTTCACAACTCTGAGTGTTTCTCTATTTGTGATTATTGCAACCTCTATGGTTGTATCTAAAGCCAACCTCCGTAGTTATACTGGAAGACACATTTTCCTCTAGCCAACTTTCGTGGTTGCACCTCAAGCTAACATCCAAGGTACAATCACCATGGTTACACCTCAAGGCTCTTTTGTCTCTAGCCAACCTCCGTGGTTACACCTGAAGGCTGCTTGGCCTCCATGCAACCTTCTTCAGGCTACTTCGTTTTTATGCGACCTCTAAGGTTGTCCTTCAAGGCTGCTCGGCTTTCACGCAATCTCCACGGTTGCCCTTCAAGTCATAGTTATTAGTATCGTGCGATACGCGAAACGTATTATACAATACGTCACGGTATAGAGGTAAAATGATACGAATTGAAGTTTTGTATCGTTTTTGTAACATTTGCACAATTGTTTTATAATATTTCAAGATATTTAATATATTTTGACTAATATTTTGGAAAAATAATTTTTAATTTTTTTTTTTTTATTAGGTTTCTTAAACGGGTCGAAACGTATTTGAAATACGTTGAAACGTTTTCGTTTCTTATGTGACCGAAACAATGCACCGAAATGATATTTTGATCCCTCTTCAAAACTTCCTTACCGCCATCTCCATCCATACGAATTGGTGATTCCTTATGCTGAATTCTCCCCGCACAAATACTGTTGGAACCTCCAGTACTAGCCTACCAAGAGTGTGTGGTATATCGAAAAACACAATTTTAGACAAGTTTAATTGGGAGGTGTATCTCTATAATCTTAAAGAGGTGTAGCCTGAAATGCCATAGAGATATGAGACAAATCTAAAAGCATATTCAATAATCAAGTCATGTGAGCAATCCTTGATGATCATGAATTGAATAGTTGGTTAATCTAATTACAACAATGCATTGCTCAGGGCTGGTTATAAGGAATTTATGCGGGATTGAGTCTTGGTTTCCAACATTAGAAATCGCTTTCATAAGTGAATCTTAGTGCCAAAGTAATTGTACTAGAGTGTTAGTTTTATTGTGTTTTTGTGACCAAATCGTGGCATATATTACTTCAAATTGGTGGAGATTTGTTGGAATACAAACGAAGGTGGAGATTTGTTGTGGGTGTCTTGTATTCCACTTGTAGTAGGAAATTAGTTTGGACATTGTTCTCTTTAGGAATTTGGAAAGATGAATTTCTTAGAATTTCGCTTCAAGTGAAAGACCAATTAAAAACCCTATTATTTTAGGAGACAATGTATTTTAGGTCTATAAATAGAGTATATTCAATTTCTTTCGGGGATTTTGGCTCCCAGTTTTGGGCATCCATGTTTGGTTCTATTCTCTGGGTTAAAGAATTTGTGTAATTTCCCTTTGTTTATTATGAAACTTAGTCGTTACGCTTCACTCGTAGGTATAGGCTTTCGAGTCAATCCACGTAAATTTGTGTTCTGTATTTTTTTATTTCGTTCCTTTTGGTTGTTTATGGCCGTTGGTCATAACAAGAAGTTTAATTGGGAGGTGTATCTCTATAATCTTAAAGAGGAATAGCTTGAAATGCCATAGATCTATGAGACAA